ATGTATTTAGATCGCTGTAAATTTGAATTTTCAAATGACCCGAAGCAGTTTTATAACTTTGTCAACGCAAAGCGAAAGTCATCAGCTTTGCCTTCATCGGTTCGATTTAACTCAATGGAGGCATCGACTGACTCTGAAATTGCTGATTTATTCTCTGACTTTTTCCAAACTACTTATAGCTCTTCTTCATGGACAGAATCAAATTACCGTAATCCCTTAAATAGGGCAAATTGTATTTTTTCCCCTATAATTACCGAAAGTTCTCTCTTAAGAAATTTAACATCAACAACGCCAACTTATTCTCCCGGTCCTGATGGACTTCCTGGGTGTGTGCTTAAGTTTTGTGCATCAACCATCTGCAAACCTATTCTTAAACTTTTTCAATTGTCTATTTCATCATCAGTTTTTCCAACTATCTGGAAGGATTCTTTTATTATTCCACTTCACAAAAAGGGTGCGAAGGCGGATGCCCAGAATTATAGAGGTATTTCTAAATTGTCGGCTATTCCAAAAGCCTTTGAACGTATTATCACTTCTCATTTGCAACATTTATGTTCCTCGCTAATATCACCGTGTCAGCACGGTTTTGTTAAGCGAAGATCGACTACCACCAACCTACTTGAATTGTCATCAATTGTAATAAATGGATTTAACAATAAAATGCAGACTGACGTTGTATATACAGATTTCAGTAAAGCCTTTGACTCTGTTAACCACTCTCTTCTTTTATTCAAATTAGATTTGCTTGGCTTTCCATGTAATCTATTAACTTGGATTTCAAGCTATTTGAATGGGAGGACTCAGAGGGTTATATTTAAGAACGCTGTTTCAAAAACGATCCATGTGACATCTGGAGTACCTCAGGGTAGTCATTTGGGCCCTTTGCTGTTTACTTTGTTTATTAACGATCTTCCCTCTATTGTAACACATTCTCGTGTACTAATGTATGCTGATGATGTTAAGCTTTGTTTGACTTATAATAATATAGAGTCTGGTTTTGGCTTACAATCAGACATTGATCATTTTCAAGTATGGTGTGAGTATAACCTCTTAAATTTGAACTGCCTAAAATGCAACGTAATGACCTTTTATAGGGTTACCCCAACCTTTATAAGTTATTCGCTTCAGAATTTGCCACTTGACCGTATATATTCAGTAAATGACTTAGGCGTTCTTCTGGACCCGAAGCTTAAATTTGACTGCCACATAATGTCGACAGTCAATAAAGCTATGAGTGTTCTTGGGTTTATAAAGCGTTGGTCAAAAGAATTTGATGACCCTTATATAACCAAATTATTATTTACCTCCCTTGTCCGTCCTATATTGGAATATTGTTCTTCGGTTTGGAGCCCACAATACCAAGTCCACATTGACCGTATAGAGTCGGTACAAAAAAAATTTCTCCTTTTTGCCCTTCGTAGTTTGAACTGGGATCAAAACGTAAGGCTACCTTCCTACCAGAGTAGATTATTATTGCTTAATCTGCCCACACTTGCAAATCGTAGAAAAATGCTGGGTACCATTTTTATGCATAATCTTATAAGAGGTGATATTGATTCTGTAGAACTTGTTAGCCGCCTAACTTTTAATGTTCCCGTTAGACTAACACGTAATTATCAACCTCTTAATTTACCTCGATGTACATCAAATTTTGGTCTGCACGAGCCCTTTCGCGTTCTATGTAATAACTATAACGTTCTTTATCATTTAATTTGCACATCAACTTCTATCCCGGTATTAAAAACTAACATTTTAACTCATTTGCTTCACTCCTAACTGCATGTTTTTTTTTTTTTTTTATTATTTGTCCCGTCTTTATTGGTTTTATGTATTCTTCCTCGCGAACTCGCATTTTTGCCCAAATTTACAAAAGGGCCCCGCGCGTAACAAGCACGTGCTTGGTGTCGTTGGGCCACTTGTTTGTACTTCTCGTAGTGCATCAACGTCCATCATATATATATAAGTGTAAGGAGATCATTGGCAAGGAGTTCTACATACCGAAGCTGGAAGAGAAGATTCAAAAGTGTATAAGCTGCTGTATACCATGCATTGTCAGTAACCGTAAGCAGGGAAAACAAGAGGGTGAACTTCACCCACTCAGCAAGAACGAAAAACCACTGCAGACGTATCACATAGATTTCCTTGGCCCTTTGGAGTCGACTCAAAAACAGTATAAGCACATACTTGCGGTAATCGATAGTTTTACCAAATTTTGCTGGCTCTATCCGACCAAGACACCCTCTACCAAAGATGCTGTATCGAGACTTCAGGAGCAAAGCAAAATCTTCGGCAATCCTAGTCACATAATCTCTGACAAAGGATCTGCATTCACGTCGGAGGACTTTCAACTGTACTGCAACACCGAAGGCATCAAGCATCATCTCATCACAACGGGCCTACCTCGTGCCAACGGTCAGGTCGAGAGGCTAAATACGACAATAATTGCTGTCCTTTCGAAACTTTCTATCGATGAAGATGCGTCTCAAAGCCGACATACAGATCCAGCAGATGTTAGAGGCAGAAATGATTCAGCTCTTCAACGACGATCGAGATGAACCTCGAAATCAAGCAAAGCAGCACATTCTTAAGATACAGGAAGAAAATAAAAAACGATACAACCTACGGCGAAGACCAGCTTTAAAGTACAAAGTCGGCGACTTAGTTGCTATTAAGAGAACCCAGCTTGGCCCAGGGCTAAAGTTAAAGCCGAAGTATCTTGGCCCATACCGCATTGTAAGGGGGAAATCGAATGATACCTATCGTAGCTAAAGACTCAGTATTCAGCGAAGGCCCAAGGCAGACGAGCACTTGCGCTGAGTATCTAAAGCCGTGGATGCCTTATGACGACGATGAAGACGACGCATTCGAGGCGAATGCAGTGTAGGATGGCCGATTTGTGGGAATGGTCTGGCAACCCAGATCAGCTGGTCCTATGACGGGAGATTTGGCGAACTAACGACATGGCAAGCCTGCCTAAATGGAGGACGAGAGCGAATTACGAATTTGCAACGACGAGGAGAAGACGTGCGAAAACGACGCGAGTAGAAAAGACGTGAAAAACGAAAAGAAAGACGACTAAGACGCAGAATATTCAGTTTAACAAAACCTACTTATAATACTAAATAACTCAATAAATCTATAATAAATATAATCAAAACCAGTGGGATTGTGTGTACGTTACCTAAAAAACCTAATCACAGCCCGGTCCCACATAATTACAAAAACGGCTTAAGTAAATTGCATTCCAAATCAAATATAATCCGAGATCTATTTGTTTAATTTTAGAAACAATAGTTATTTGATTGATTCCGACGAGAGCTTGCATCTTAAATCCGACAGCACTTATATCAGGGCCGAAAAAGAGTGTTCTACGGAGACCTGAGTAGCAGGAACGCAATGTACAATTTTCGCCAGTCGGTATAAGTGCGGATAGATAAACTTCTTTCCTTCCCAATACTCCATTATGTCCGATTTTAATTCTACTTAAAGGTAAGGTGATTGTTTGTTTCCGTAATCGTCAATTTAAGCTGAGGATCAAGCTCGCTGTTGGATTCTTCATTGCTTGCTACATCAATCGCTTAAAAAACCACTTTCAGATGAATTTTGAGATTAAGTCGGATTCGAATCATCCTCTTCTTTCAGTTTTTTACACTCCTGTTAAATAAACAACATTAGTTTTATAAAATTATAAAAAATATTCTAGAGACATATGGCATATTAACAGAAAGGTGTTCAATCGTAGATTACATACTTATAAATTTTAAACCAATGCACCCCTCAGTTCAAGAGTTATTGTATGGGCTTGCCCTTGTGCAACCCGATAGTGGAAGTAACCTTCCCATTGTGCAGGTCCAAAATTCGCTAGTTATGCGAGTGTGGGTGCTCGTTGATGTGTGTCTGCCCGTGTGCAGACTAGAGTCCAAAAAGCGCAAATGAAACAGAATGTTGTTTTGTGTTTACCAAAGATCTGTATTGAACTGATTTGGCTGCTGAGTACAAAGTTTCATATAAGTGACGAGCGTGCAAGCTCGTTTTAATTACGGTAAAGTGGATCTTATTTACATATACAATTCGGGTTATGAATTTAGGATTTTTTAACAATATAAATTACATGTCGTGCTCCAACATCCTCCCCCCGTTGGAACCCAGCGGCGAAGATGTGAATGGGGTCTGGAGAAAAAATGCATTACAAGTGTAGACATTGTAATCGATTACGATCGCTGTTTTTCGACAGTGAAGTTGTAATCAGAGCTCCTATGACTTCGTATTTTTGTTCGTTAACGATTTCCTTTTGTCAAAAATCACAAACACACCTAAAAATTATTGCCTATGTGTTCATTTTTCGTTTCCCCACCGTCACGTTCGAGCTTCGGAACTTTAATAATAACAGCATGCATTCTAAGTATAGTTTAACGAACTAAAAAAAGCACAGACAATGGCCGAGCGGTTAGCCTTTCCATCCATTATACAATAATACCCATGTTCAATTCCAACATGAGGAAAGAATATTTTTTGTTTTCATGAATGAACAGCATTACAACTCAGCATACGTTTTTCAAAATGTATGTTGAATTTTCTCTAGTCTGTCTACATTTTGCATTAAAATTTTGGGAAAGTATAGTGAATTCGTAATGGAGACCCGAAGTTGACTCGGCCCTAGCATACTTTTCCCATTACTAGTAATGCAAATTGTGTCCCGACCACATTACAAGGCCGCCATGCCTATGGCAAAGTAATCCATGTTGTAATCCATTGTTTCCCTATTACTGGAGGAGAAGTAATGCATTCGTAATCCATTTTGTAATGGCAATTTTCGCCGCTGGGAAGGACTTTGGTTCTTGCAACAGATTGCTTAAACTGGGAGCCGCGCAATTTTGCAGATGGGTCGGCGAATAACTCTTTTCATCGTCTTTATGTCGACAACTTTGACCTTTCCGTCAGCTCCAGAACAAGTGTTTAAGATTCTACCGAGAGGCCACTGCTGAGGTGGAGTGTTGTCATCATGGATGATTACTAGCTGTCCAGGCGTGATGTTGGCTTGCGGCGTCAACCATTTGACTTCGCAAGTTGCAAAACGCTGCTGAAGATAGTCCCGTCGCGCAGAGCATCTCCAGACAAGGTTGAAGCTGCTTTAGAGACGAGCCTAACAAAAAATGCGATGGGGTTAGAGCCTCTCCGTCATTCGGATCCTCGGATATCGGCGCTATTGGTCTCGAATTAAGGACTGCTTCGACCTCAATGGCAACAGTTGGTAGCTCCTCGTGTGTAAGACCAGAATTGCCAATTTTTTTCACCAGCAAATGTTTCATCGATTTCACCGCCGCTTCCCAGAGCCCGCCGAAGTGCGGCGCACGGGGAGGGATGAAATGAAACGAGACGCCTGTTGAAGCGGTGAACGTTTTTAGGTCTTGCAGCGCCTGCTGACTGAAGAGCTGCTTCCTGAATTCGTCGAGTTGGGAATGAGCCCCAACAAAATTAGTTGCGTTGTCGCACCAAATGCTCTCTGGAAGTCCTCTGCGTCCAACGATGCGCTTTAAACATAAAACAAAGGTATTAGTGGAGAGGTCTGATACAAGTTTAACGTGAACTGCTTTGGTCGCAAAGCAGATGAGTACGGCCATATAAGTTTTATATGGAACCTTTCCACGAATCCGATAGGAGGTAGAAAATGGTCCACATAGATCTACTCCTGAGATGGCAAACGGCTTGGTTTGGGTCAGCCTTTCCGCTGGCAGGGATCCCATAATTTGTTGCATTAGCCTGAGCTTGTAATGGCAACAATGAACACAATTTTTGACCAACTTGGTGGTGATGCGACGAGCATTTGCGATCCATATTTGAAGTCTTAGTAATCCAATTAGCGCTTTGGGGCCTGCATGCATATTGACTTTGTGAAGATGTTCAACGTACTTATAGGTGAACAAGTGATCGCTAGGAAGAAGCAATGGGAATCTTGCATCTACCGGGATTGGGGCGTTTGCTAGACGGCCGCCGTCTCGAATTACTAGTATAGATCGATTGCCAATATCAGCTTCAGCTATGAACGGATGTTCGCGGACTTTATTTGAATCGTTGACACCCTATTGGCTACGAAACACTTAAGCTGGGATGTGTGCATTGTAATCCAGTGTAAGACAATTGTCGAGTCTGACCAAAAAGTAACCTTCTTGGATATGTTCTTAAACTTATGTTTGATTTTATCCCATGTTTCGCAAAGAAGCAAGGCTGCGCACAACTCAAGTCTTGGTAGACTGATAGTCTGAAAAGGCGCTACCTTTAATTTTGCGATTACTAAACGCGAGATTCTTTATATAAGTAAAGAAGTCGTATTCAGGTTGAGCGCGCGCAGTAAACAATAATGCGGCTTGCACTTTTATTCAAACAAATTTTTGTCTGCGCCCTATATAACATTTTATTGAAATACTTGTAAATGCGGGTAACATAGAGGCAATATAGTAATCAGTTGTGTAGAATAATTTAGCAATGAGTAATGTGGTAGAAGAAAAATATTAAGGGTATTCAAAAAAGCGCCGCAGGAAAAAATTTTTTTTTCAAAAAATCGCGCGATTTTTTAGAAAAAAAAAATTTGTATGCACTTCAACAATTTATTGAAATACTTTTAAATAATTTTCAACTATCTTTCTGCAGTACGGGCAGAGCAATAGAGAGTTTTTGAAGCACTCAAAGCATATTTCAATGCAAATAATACTACAATTTTATTATGAAATCAAATTAAATTATGAAATCAAATTTTTGTCTGCGGTCTCTTTAACAATTTATTGAAATACTTTTAAATGATTTTCAACTGTCTGTCTGCAGTACGGGCAGAGCAATAGAGAGTTTTTGAACGCTGTTCCAGATTTTTGAAGCACTCAAAGCATATTTCAATGCAAATAATACATTTTAGCACGTCAGCCATTTGGCTGAACTGCAAAGTATTTTCCACATCTTCACCTTCTGAATCAGAACCGGAACATAACTCCTGAAATGTTTAACTGACTAAAATATGAAAAGACATGAGAGGTATCATAACAAACGGTACTCTGATCTCGGTAATCTTATTGATTCGAATGCGCTTTACAACAAAAAGTAATTCTCTTATCGGTATTCTCATTAACTCAAAATGCATTTTAGAATTTTTTTAGAAGGGGCGGGCGTTATGACACTTTTAAAAGGCCCACGGGCCTTATGACACTTTTTAGTGTGTCATAGCGCCCGCGGGCTCTATGACACCGGGCGTTATGACACGCACACATTTTCATACACCTGGGCTCTGTCGTATGCTTGCTTAGAATCAAATCAACTTTCTGCAGGTCGAGATGAATGATTATTGCACTAAGAATGTCTTTCTCAGTGCCAAGAGAAAGAAGCGAGCCAAGAAGTGCTGAAACAGTATCCAAAATTTGCCGAAGAGAGCACGGGTCAGCCTTCTTCATGTGAGAAATGCCGAATAAACTGGTAACATGCTCAATAAGAATTAATACTTTCTTATCGTAACGCTCTTGTAACTGATTTAGAGCCTTTTGGTAGTTGGCATCTGAAACTTGAAAGGCTGACACAACGCTTAACGCTGGATCAGATAAGCAACCAAGTAGATATGTTAATTTGTCTACTTCTGTAATGCTAGCATCTTCGTCGACCATAAGTTAAAATGCAGAAATAAAGCGTTTATAATCACCATATTTGCCGTCAAGGCTAGGCAATTTGAGAGCAGGGAGCCGGATGTGGTTTCCGCTACCTAAGAACGTGGAATTTGTGACGCTTAACTCATCAGACCGCTGCGGCCTATTCGAAGCTATCCTTTTCATCAGAGTCGCCTTGCTAACAATATAATCTTCGTCATGTTCGGATCTAGAATTCTCCGTTGGATCCAACTCCTCGATTTGCAGCTGAACTTGAGCCAATTGCCTATACTGGGACTCTAACATTTGCAATCTGCACTCCGCCGTGCTGGCATCGATGACAGTAGCAGCCAAAGCTCGTTCCTTGCTGCTCTTAAAATTCTGTTCCAGCACAGCGCGCTTCCTTGACCCCCCCTCTCCTCCTCTTTTTTTTTTTTTTTTTTTTTTTTTTTTTTATAAAATTATTTAAAAAAAAAAAAGGGAGGTTCCCTTCGGCCCGCCGAAGCTTATTTTCCCTTGCAGATAAAAAATTGCTCACTCGGTGCAGTTCCAGGGATTCCAGATTCAGCGTTTCTATTTATTTATATTTTGTTTTTAAGTAGTCAAGAATCAAAACGCCAACTTCCTACAAAGTTACAATTAATTTTCTTTTTTTTTTTTTTAAATTTTTTTTTGAAGGCCTTAAAAAAATGGGGTCCGATCCGGCCCTTCCCGACATGTACTACCTGCAATAGAAAGAAGACTTTCGGGGAAGTTTCATGGCGATAGCTTTAAAACTGAGAGACTAGTTCGCATAGAAACGGACAGACGGACAGACAGACAGACGGACAGACGGACATGGCTAGAAAGACTCGGCTATTGGTGCTGTTGAGGAACCCTATAACAAATCATAATAATTTGGTATATTTTATAGCATGTAAGATTTTCCCTCTTGAGATGGTCTGGTCTTGCTATTTCTCGCTCTCTCTCTCTTGTTTCTGACCACGAACGGTCGACATGAAATAAAGCGTTCAATCTTATTGTGAAATAATTGTGTATTATTCGATCAACCCAATTCGAAAGTGGTCTTACAAACCATTTAGCGTGATCTATTCACCATCATTGTCTGGTCCTTCGAGAGCCAGAATACTTCCGCATCTTTATAATTGAATCTGCACACCATGGAGCAACAGACGCTTAAACGTCTTATCCAAGCACGTGGTCGGCTAAAGGCTACCATAACTCGCTTGGTGAATTACATCGAGAATCCACCTCCACAGAGCACTTACTCCGGAGTCAATGCCATGCTGGAACGGCTAAATCAAGCATTCAAGAGCCTTGAGGAGGTCACCGACGAAATGCACTTGTACGATAATGTTGAGGGTTTCGAGGATCCTACCGAAGACTTCCAAAGGAGAAGTACTTGCACGCGCTTACCTTATTCGCGTCGTTGAAGAGCGACCTTCAGCCAAGCGCCATACCGCAAGCGGATCACAACATGGCCACATTGCTGCAACAGCAAAGTGAGTTCCTTCAGCGACTTTCAGAGAACGGAACATCTACCTTGGCCACGCCGCCGCCTGCTGCAGTTTCTTTAACTGAAAATCCGTTGCCAAAAATCCACATAAAACCCTTTGGTGGAGACTACAAGGAATGGCCAGCCTTTAAGGATATTTACGAGAGCACCGTCCACAACAAGACTCATCTGGAAAAGATTCAAAAGTTCCACTACCTTAAATCTTTCATAGTTGGTGAAGCAGCCAATCTTCTTAGTCACATGTCCATTACGGAATCAGCTTATGATTCAGCATGAGAACGCCTCAATGAACGCTATAACCGCCCAAGGCATATCGTGAACTCCTTACTGGACACCTTCATGGAACTGGTTGCTGCCCCCAACGGCGAAGTATCTAATCTACGCAAACTAACAGATGGCGCCAATAAAATCATTCGTGGGCTAGATGCAGTTGGGGAGACCAGCCGTGACTGGGTGGTGATTCATCTTGTACTGGCTAAAATTGATCCCGACTCTAGAAGGAAGTGGATAGAGGACACCAGAGGCGCTGCGACGCCAACCGTTACAGACTTGTTTAAATTCCTTGATGATCGTTGCGAGGATTTTGAATTAAGCCAAGCTACATCGGCAATCAAACTCGATCCTGGCAGCCACACCGACAAGCCTGCCAAAACGAAGCGCGCACTTATTGCAGTGAGCAGTGGCAATTGTGGCTCTGCTGACCATCAGCTATATAGATGCTCTCAATTTCAAAATCTGAACATCGAACATCGGCGCTCCTTTGTGAAAGGAAAGTCGCTTTGCTTCAATTGCCTACGCCCTGGCCACCGATCTTCGCAATGTAAATCGAAACATTCGTGCAAGCACTGCAATGGCCGTCATCATTCTCTTGTACATCCTGAAAACATGGATTCCATGACAATTGCTTCTGCGGACACTGCACAGGCCAATTCTCAAACTTCTGGATGTAGCTCAACTTTGGTCGCCCAGACGCAAAACAGCACATCATTAACACAGTCACCGGGACTCAAAAGAAGCACATTGCCCACAGCTTTGGTGTATGTCCAAAACACTAAAAGTTCTTACACAATTTGCCGTGTGCTTCTGGATAGCTGTTCTGAGCTGTCATACGTTTCTGAACGATGCGTCAACGCACTTGGGCTCGCACGTTTATTCTCAAGAATTCTAGTTTCCGGAATATCTTCCGTCAAGGCCGAAACTACTAGAGGATTGGCCACGCTGCATATCAAATCAATGGTGTCACTGCATACGATTGTTGTCGCAGCCCATGTGCTGGGCAAAATCACATCATCACTTCAACGGGACGACATTGACGAAACAGCCTTAAGGATCTACGATGGACTCCAGTTAGCCGATACATCCTTTAACACATCTTCACCAGTAGACATTTTACTGGGAAATGAACAAATTTGGTCCGTTCTGTCAGGTGATAAAAAATATGACGCCGATGGAAATATTATTGCCATCAGCTCGATCTTTGGATGGATAATCACTTCCGTTGCAATGCCGCATCCATTAACCGCCAACACGCTCGTTACTACTGTTGACATAAACGCCTCTCTTCAACGCTTTTGGGAGATCGAGGATAACACTGACCACAAACAACAAGACCCTTCGCACGAAAAGGTGGAGCAGCACTTTTTGACCACACATTCCCGAGACCCAGACGGCAAATACATCGTTGAATTGCCTTTCAAACACGAAAGCCAAGAGTTTGGAGACAGCCTGCAGGGCGCTGTCTCACGCTTCTATGCTGTGGAACGTCGCCTACAGCGTGATTTGGAGCTACGCAAGCAATATTCAAAGTTTATGAACGAATATCTAAGCCTAGGTCATATGCGTAAGCTGGCCCCAGAAGAATGCAATACATCGGCCAAAACGTTTTACATGCCACACCACCCAGTTCTAGGAAAGAAGCTGCGCGTGGTATTTGACGGGTCATTTGAAGACGTAAACGGCCACGCTCTAAATGATGCCTTACACATTGGGCCCAGCATTCAACGTAACCTTTTTCACGTATGCCTTCGCTTTCGAATGCACAAGTTTGTGTTTTCGGCGGACATAGTCAAAATGTTTCGCCAGATCTGGGTTGCCCCTAAGCACCGCAACTTTCAACGGATCGTATGGAGAGATGCTCCGAATGATCCTCTTCAACACTTTCAACTCTGCACAGTTACCTATGGAACAAGCTGTGCGCCGTTTTCTGCTGTCAGGGTCCTGGAACAACTAGCGCGAGACCACCAGGATGAGTTTCCCACAGCATCAAAAATTGTGCTTAGCCGCCGCGACGAACTCATCCAGCTGATGTCCAAGGCTAAGCTTGAGCTTGGCAAATGGGTGTCCAACAGCAGCCGCCTCAGCCACACCAGCCAAGAGGAGCTCCCAATAACCAGTGCGTTGAAGGTTTTAGGAATGCATTGGAATCCCCAAGACGACGTCCTGTCCTACAAGACTTCACTTTCCACGGAACCAGAAGCTACTAAACGGCAAGTATTGTCAGATGTCTCACGAATTTTCGATCCTCTAGGTATTCTGGCGCTTGTGGTAGTACAGTTCAAAATCCTTTTCCTTTTGAAGGTTTTAGGAATGCATTGGAATCCCCAAGACGACGTCCTGTCCTACAAGACTTCACTTTCCACGGAACCAGAAGCTACTAAACGGCAAGTATTGTCAGATGTCTCACGAATTTTCGATCCTCTAGGTATTCTGGCGCTTGTGGTAGTACAGTTCAAAATCCTTTTCCAAGAACTTTGGCTACTTGACCTGGACTGGGATTCAAAGCTCCCACCGAAGCTGGCTGAGTGGTGGCAGACCTGTCGCGACGATATTAACTGCATAACAAACCTAAGTATTCCACGTTTTGTACCCAGCGAATCGGGAAAAATCGAATTACATGGATTTTCAGACGCGTCTATAAAGGCATATGCCGCTGTCGTATACAGCCGTGTAAGCAACGCAGACGGCACCTGCTTGGTGTCACTTATGGCAGCCAAAACACGCGTTGCGCCACTAAAGCAACAAAGTCTTCCTCGGCTGGAACTCTGTGGAGCGCTATTGCTCACTCGCCTTCTCCGAGCTGTTAAGGAGGGCTTACAGCACAAGGACATAATTGTGCATGCTTGGTGCGATTCCACGATTGTCCTTTCGTGGCTGTCGCACACCCCATCAAAGCTGAAAACCTTTATTGCCAACCGTACTTCGGAGATCCTGGATGTCATATCACGCAGCGCATGGCATCACGTTGGCTCAAAGGATAACCCTGCCGATTGCGCATCGAGGGGAATGCTAGCAGCCAATCTCATGAGAGGTGGAAGGGTCCACATTGGCTACACCATAACGACCTGCTTGCTTCAAAGCTTCGTAGTGGCAAGAATCCCAACACAATTTTGGACACGCCCATAATGGAAGGGCTGAAATCCTCTTCACTATGCAGCCGTATTGAATCTAAACCTGAAGCGTCCCCGATTGAGTGTCTATCGCTTCGAGTTTCTTCCTGGACCAAGCTGATTCGCTGCACTGCTTATGTTCTTCGCTTTATGAATCGAAGCAGAATGAAGAAGCGGATTCCGTCAAGCCTCACACTCACGTTTGAGGAAATCAGCGAGGCCCGCATATATTGTCTCAGGCACGCTCAAGAAGGCTTCTCATCCGATATACACCTGTTGAAAAGGGGAAAAGCTGTTGCAAATTCGTCAACACTTCGAACACTTTCACCCATGGTTTGCGAGAACGGCCTCCTTCGTGTAGGTGGACGCCTCTCAAACTCGCTACTACCGGAGGAAGTCAAGCATTCTTGTCACAAATGTTTTCGCCAACGCCACAAAACAGCTGATCAATACATGGCGGACTTGCCAGCTGTTCGGGTACGTCAAGCATATCCATTTGAAAATACTGGATGCGACTATGCCGGACCGCTTCTGCTCAAGGTGCACAAGGGAAGGAATCCACGAAAGGAAAAAGGATACATCTGCTTATTTGTCTGCCTAGTGACCTCCGCAATTCATTTGGAGTTGGCTACAGATCTCAGCACGGAGACATTTCTCGCTGCACTTCGTCGTTTTATCTCCCGTCGAGGCAAGTGTACCCACATCTTCAGCGACAACGGTCGCAACTTTGTGGGAGCTAAGAAGGTGTTAGACGACATGTATAAGCTCATCGTGTCACAGCAGCATAACACTCAAGTAACTCAATCGTTGGCCAGCGGGGGTATCAAATGGAGTTTCATACCACCGCACGAGTTACCAGTCGTAGGTCGAACGTATGGTTGTAGCTGGTAACGAAGAATTTGATGTCAGGATGTTGACGGTGAATCCGATGCGAAAGTAAGCGAAAAGGTGAATTAGCAACGTCTCTATTTATTGTAATTTGTTAAAAAAATATGTAATTTGTGATTTAACGATGATCCGGTAAGGGGTCATCTCTCGTCGGTGTCTTCAACCCCGTTCCAAAGAATCTCGCAGGGTTCTTCTCCAGTAATCAAGGCTTGGTGGGTTACTCTTCGGATTTTTATGTAGGCAAATAAGTGGGTTTTGAGTTTAGGATAGAAATGAGAAGTCTGGATGGTTTGGTTGTTAGAATCGAACTGATTGTAATATTTTAAGAATGAGAATTCGTAACCTACGCTGCACACAGGCAGCACTTATATATAATACAATTCGTGTATGTGTTTCTTATGTATATGTATCTCAAGTATTTGTCGCTCAGTCGCCGCTTCTATATTCTGTCTACGCTGCATTTCTTCGGCCGCTGCCGCTTGTACCCGGATGCCAACTTGTTGGCTTGCATTTTATTATTCGGACAAACAACTGGCCTATTTTTAATGGAAGCGGGGTGCGGGGAGTTTGGCGGCAACCCGCTCCCAACTTATGTTTGCTAGCTAGTGGACGGCCTATACTTGAAGGGGTGCGGGGAGTTGGTTATCGGTAACTCCTCCCCCCCCCAGACCGAAGTGACGGCCAAAGTGATTGACTTTTGGGCGGAACGACTACTTGTGGTAAGGTAGGTGTTACAATAATTTTTTGTTTTTTCTTAATTACTATTATGCCTAAGATTAACAAAATTATGATAATAAACATTGTATATGTAAAATAGTTTTGCTTTTGTGTTCTTATTTGGAAATTTTGTAATTGTTTTTGATTTTCCAATCCCGACAAATGGATTCTAGTTAAATTTGGGACGATATAGGATTTATTTATAATTATATTGCTATCTTCAAAAGTCTGTATCTTCAATTGGCTATTAACGAACTTGTTTTCATTTTCGAATGTGAGGTTGTTTATTTTGACAGTACAATTTTCGTACCTAACTAACATTGACCCCTCAATAATTGGTTGCATCCCACAATCCGTTTGCAATTTTTCTTGGTGTGCATTAAATATAAATATATATCCCCTCTCTGGTTCAAAAACCTGTGTTTCTACCTCCGTTATTTCCACATTACAAGTGGGTTTCATTTCTTTTAATATATTATTGATGCATAAACTGTTGAACTGATTGGGCTGATTACAATAAAAAATTAACCCTATTCTTATGCACTTATCTTTAAATTGATACACTTTATCTTCCCTAAATGCTATAAAACTAGGAGCGTCAATAAACATGGTACCATTTATTGGTAATGCGACCAACCTAGCAAATTCAAACTTATCAATCTCCACTATGGGTACCCTAATTTTAAAGTATATCTTAGTTCCTACACTCTCTGAACTTGTTCCTAGCACGGAATACATGTCTTCTATTGAGTCAAAAGTAATATTTTGCTTTTCTAAAATATCCCTTACAAGTCCTAATTCCTGTTGTCCTAAAATAAATTTCGGAAGGATATTCCACCTTGATAGTAAAATACTCTCCGCTATGTTATTAATGTATCCTAACACAACGTCTAAATTATAACTAATCCTAATCATCTTTTGAATAATTTTTATTTCCACATCTTCCTCCTTTAATTCCTTATAGACTGAATTTTGAGCATACTTTATGTAATCATTTATTTCCTGCTGCTCCGTATTAATAAACTTAGTTATGTTATTAAACCTATCTATTAAATTGTTGTTTACCATAACCTGTTCATTAGACATCTTAAAAAATGCCTCTTCCTTAGCCCTAATACTCTGTAACTCCCTTTCTATATTCCTTTGATCTTCCGCATCCATATTACCTGTTACCGTTTTTACCATACTACCCAATCCGTTAATCAAACCTCTCCTGTTTCTTTTCAAGGGCATCACTATTCTTATCCTATCTACAACTTCCTTTATTTTATTATCTAACATCCTCAGGGTTTGTTTAGTTTCAATATTCGCTTCCCGTTTTAATAACGCTACTGAATCGTTGAATTGTTGTATTGTCGCTGATATTTCCGTCAAATCGATGGTCTGGGTTGTTTGATGATATGAATTAATTACTCTCGCTTCACCCAAGTCTATCTTGGTGACAAGTTGTCCATTTTTTAAGGTTTGGGTCATGGTTGACTGAGTTATTACCCTCAGCGTCCTGTAAATATTAGTTCGCAACAAATTAATCGTTAGTATTTGTTAGTTTTCTAATTTTAGATTTGTGTATTTTTTGTTGCCTTTCGGTGATCAACGTTACCCCCTTATCTTCTTGCACTTTATGCTTAGTAAACCTTGGCGTTGTTTTGTCTCTTCTGTTCTCTTTCCTAAATATCGTATCTCCACTTCTAAGTTGAATTGGATCACTTCTTCCTTTATTCAGTTTTTCTGTCCGTTTCCTTTTTTCTTCTTCCAATTTTTCTTTTACCTGATCGTATAGTGTGGCCTGAAATTCATTTAATTTTTTGATATAGTCATGTTCGTCTCTAAATTCCACCGTTTTACTAAATAAATGAGTCCTTCCCGTGAATAATTCAAATGGAGTCAACTTGGTGGCTGAATGAACGGCATTATTATATGTCAGTAGGGTTTCCGCTAATACTTCCTCGTGCTCATATGTCAATTTATTCTTTTTACGCACATTCAGTATTATCCTATATGTTTCAGTCAGTGTTGAATGAAGTCGTTCCACTGTGGAATTACTAGACGACTGCTGAAATGACGTGTAGTGGAGTTCTATACCGTATTGTTTACAAAATTCCTTCACTAACTTGTTAGCAAATTCCGCCCCCTGATCGCATACAATCTTTTTTGGTATGCTGTACAGAGACAAGTATGTCTTCAACGTTCTCGTTATACTTATAGCATCTCTCGCTACAATCGTAAACGCCGATGCAAACTTCGTCAGTTTGTCTATTAATGTCAACATAGTTTTGTTATTTATGAAGTACAAATCGATATGGACTACATCCAATGGGAATTTCGGAATGTCCGGTGTTTGATATTTGATCTTTTGAGGATTCCTATCGTATTTGAACATTTGGCAAATGTCACAAGCTTTAACCACCTCCGTCACTATTTCTCTTACCCTAGGGAAATAGACTTTTCTCTTTAAATGTAATATTGTTTCATCCACTCCCCTATGGTTCCCGTCTACATGATCCTGTTGTATTGCCTCCCTTTGTTCTATCAGACTCTTAATTTCCGGTAACACCTCTAATGCTCTCACCATTTTATAATTATTCTTTTCCCCATAGTACTTTTTAAAACAATCCCTTACTACTTTAAAAACCTCTTCTTCCGCTAGAATCGCGCATGTTGTCCCAGACTTTAAACATTCCCTCAATATCTTTACAATCACTTCCTCATTAAAAGTTGGCTCTATTATTATTCTTCTGCTTTTTCCTTTATAAGGTACTTCCTTATGATTTGCTTCCTCCTCACCTATCTTCAATATCAGTTGTGCATTAAAATCATTTAGTGGTTTTTCCGTAACCTCAATGGTATTCCTTGTTTTTTTATCTTCTTCTTCATCCCCTGCTTCGCACTGCAACGTGCCTATCTCCGAGCCAATATCTGTAACAAATACTTCTACGGGTATTCTACTCAGTGCGTCCGCATTAGTATTTAATTTGCCTTTTTTGTATATGATTTCATATTCATATTCCGCTAATTGTAATCTCCATCTTACCAATTTCGACGATGGCTCCTTTACGCTATTCAACCAGACTAACGGCCTATGATCTGTTACTATACTGAATTTCTTCCCAAACAAATATGGCCTAAAATACTTTACTGCCCATATTATTGCTAACATTTCCTTCTCTGTTGCTGAATAATTGATTTCCGAAGTATTCAACGTGCGACTCGCATACGAAATGGGTTTATCGCTACCTATAGGTCCTTGAGACAAAATCGCCCCCAAAGCAAAATTACTTGCATCTGTCGTCAAAATGAATGTCTTCTGCATGTCCGGGTATTGCAAGATAGGGTCATTACATAATAATGATTTACAATGTTCAAAGCTGTCTCTATACTCCTGGCTAATCTCTACATTTTTCTTCCCTTTCAGTTGGTTAGTTAACGGCTTCGTTATTCTTGCAAAGTCCTTAATGAATTTCCTGTAGTACCCCAATAACCCTAAAAAGATTTAATTTGCTTCCGGGTCGTTGGCATCTGATATTTCTTGATCACCTCAATTTTCTTCTGGTTTGGTTTAATTCCCTCCGACGTCACTATATGTCCCAAGAATTCTATCTCCTTCTTCAGAAACTCAGATTTATCCTGCTGAACCTTAAAATTCGCTCCCCTCAATTTCTCGAATACTATTTTCAAATCATTAATGTGCTGTTGCAAAGACGGTGAATATATAATTATATCATCCATATAAACTAAACAGTTTCTTCCCACTGTCTCCCCCAATACTTTGTTAACTACTCTCTGAAACGTCGCTGGGGCATTCGTTAATCCGAACGGCATTCTTAAAAATTCATAATGCCCTCCTACTGCCGTAAAGGCTGTCTTTTGTACATCGTCCGGTGTCATCTCTATCTGATGATAACCGCTCTTTAAATCCAAACTCGAAAAATATCTGGCTCTGCCTATCGAGTCCAACACCTCGTTAATCAATGGTAAGGGGTATTTATCTTTGATTGTTTTATCATTTAACTTTCGAAAATCCACTACCATTCTCCATTTCTTCTCCCCCGACGCGTCTAGTTTCTTAGGCACCAACCATACCGGTGCACTCCACGGGGAAAAACTATTCTGAATAATTTCCTGTTCTAGCAACTCATTTATTTGTCTCTTAATTTCCTTATTCTCCCCCTGGGAATATCGAAACGGCCTTACATATACTGGGTCCTGATCCGTTAACTTAATAGCATGCTTGATTTCGTTCGTAAATGACAACTTCTCCCCTTCGACATAAAATATGTCCAGATACTGCGAACACAATTTCTGTATGTGCTCCTTTTCTTCCCTATTAAGATGGTCGATCCTAATCTTTAACTTTCTTATTTTTTCATTCTCCTTTGGTTGCGAAATTGTGAAATTAAATACTTCGAATTGTTCCAGTTTATCTCTGCCCGTTACTTCTAATGCTTTTTCGAGGTAAAATATTGCGTCCTCCTCTCCTTCGTTAATCAATTCCATCCTCGCTTTAAAGTCCTCTGCTTTATAAATTCCCCCTGACAGGTATAATTCGTCATGTAATTTAATTGTGTCTATAATAAATTCTCCCGTTTTTATCGATACTGGTACTTCAATCATCATTCTCGTCTTTCCCTGTATTTCTCTGACTCTCGGTCCTCCTCTCGGTTCCCTGATCATAGGAATTACTGCCTTTTCCGTTATTAACTTTCCGACTTTACAATCAACTCGCGCTCCTATTTTGCACAAAAAATCTATCCCCAACAACCCGTCGAACTGTGGAGAAATTCGAGCCAATAGAAATGTAAACGTTCCTTCCTGTTGAAATTCCTCAAACAATTCGTACTTCACCACTTTTTTAATCTTAAAAGTATCAATTACTCCTACAACATCAATACTTTTTGGTATATCCGTCTGGTGATCCACCGGTATAAGTTCCGGATCAATAAAAGAACATTGAGCGCCTGTGTCTACCAAGAATCTTAATGATCTACCGAACGGAGACTTAATTAGTATATACGGCAATTCTCCTCCTACTCCTGATCTGTCCTTTGCGTCGAGGCTATTAAGCGAAAATTTTGAGTCTCTCCGCCCTGTCCATTTTCCCTTGTGTTAACGTTGTTAAGTCTCTGTGAACTCCCCGAGTTCGTCCTCGAGCTCTCCGAAGGTCCCGATGTAATCGCCCTATAGGTACTTGGTTGCGAGTTCCCACCATTCTGATTTCTATTAAAATTTCTGTTTCCAAAACCTCCATTGTTTTGTCCCCATCTTTGTCCATAATTATTAAAAGAATTTGTATAATTGTTATTTCTTCTATTCCCAAAATTTCCATTGAACCCTCTACTATATCCTTGGTTAAATCTGTTGTTGTTCGCTACTTGTGGTTTATCCACCGTCAGGTTCCTATCTCTCAAATATTTGTCCCTTAGCTGTTTCGCCACCTCATGGGCTTCCCTCAACGACTCAGGGTCTTTATTTTCCACTCTTAACTGTAACTGTCCTCTTAGGCCCGCAATAAACCTTTCAATACATTTTTTCTCTATTTTCTTCTCTTTCTTTACCCTTATTTCCTTATTCTTTTCTTCTTTCTTAACAATTCTCATCAATCCTGTCCTTATGTTTGCGATTTCCTCATATAGTTTTTCTAAAGTCAAACCTTTCCTGGACACTTCCCTCAAGTCATCCATTAAATCATCTTCATCCCTTTTATCCGAAAAGTGTTGGACTAACGACGCTTTCATATCGTCCCACACCAATGAAGTTGCGTCCCTTTCTAACATTGAATTAGCTTGTCCAAGAATTTTATTCCTAATTGCTCCCAATAGCACATCCCCATACGGCGTATTATCTTTATCCTTAATCAAAAGAATTACCCTCTCAACTTGCTCAATAAAATTATTTGGCTCCACCTCCCCGCTGTAAGTCGGCAAGGCTTTTATGATTCCGGGAATCTGCCATTCATTCTCGCTTCCCTGAGACATTGTTCTTAACTCTTGCTCCTCCTGTTCCGGTGCTTCTAAGATCTGATCCAGTGCACCTCTTGACGCTGATCTCGTCAACCTATCTGTCAACGGAATTATTCTTTGTTTTGAAGACCTATTTGACATTAATATTTCTTCTCGCCCAATTCCTCTTTTCTGCTTCTCTGAATATTTATTTTTAAAAAAATATCAATAATAGTCCCTAATATTATCGGTTTCCGATATTCCCTACCGGGTCGTACCCTGATCCTTTTTCAAGTGGACTTTTATTGCCCCCTAGTCCCTAGTAATACTCAAGTCAAATTCAATCTCAAGTGCCTTTCTCTTTCTGTTTATGTCGTTCCCTACTTCAAGTGGGCCTCTCTTAGGGGTCATAAATGTGCGAAGAAATTTAATCTGGGTATTTCCCTTATGACGTTTTCCGAATTCAAGTGGGTTTTTCTCTTATTCTAGGGTCATAAATGTGTATCGAGTTTGAGCTTAAGGGTTTCTTGCAGCTATGTATTCTGCTTAAAATTACGGGTGGTCTTAAAATTAATGTCGTTTCGTAATGTTCGTTGGGTTCGTTTCTCAGGCGATTCAAAATGGGTTTCCGATATCGTTCTTTTGTTTGTGTGTATGTATTAAAAATGGGTTTCCAATATCGTTCTTTGTTTGTGTGTATGTAATACTGGACATTCTTGGACTTAATTTTTATGAGTATTCTGACTACTAGTGACAACGTGGAATCTAGTATGCGTAATTTTTCTTTCCTCCTTTTATCATTCAACTTTCTCTTCCTCTTAAATTTTCTTACTTGTTCGTTGTAAAGGACCGCTCTGCCCAATGCAGTTGGAGAAAATACTATATTTCTAGCACGGTTTTTCCTTCTACCCACGATTCAAGTTAAATATCTTTTTTTTTTCACTTTCTCCTCCACTAATCGTATTTCTGATGTATTTTCCGTTCTGCCCAATGCAGTAGGGGAAGTTTGGTTATCTTCCTACACGGTTTACACCTCTTTAATTTGTCGTCTTTTCTTTTATTTCTCTTTTACTAAACATTCAACATTCATGGATTTTTCCTACAAATTCCAGATTTTCGAACTATTCGACCGATATCCACTCGGCACCTCAGGCTACCTACAAATCAAGTGCACTGAACGAATAGAACACTGCTAATCCGGTCTCTGCGTCCACAAAAATTGCTCTTTAAATCTTGAAGGTCTTTTTTTTTTTTTAACTAATTCTTTCTCTTTTTTATCTCTGGCTTTTGTTCTCTTATTTTTCCACTTCTTCTTTCCGTTTTAATTTTTTTTTTTTCTTTGCTAACCACGCACATTAACTTCCACCTTGTCACTAAAGTACTCACATCATTAATAAAATAGTTCCTTGAAGGTTCTTCATCATCGGCACTTCTTCTTGTCCAATGTTGAGTCCGGCTGCGCCAGTTACCAGTCGTAGGTCGAACGTATGGTTGTAGCTGGTAACGAAGAATTTGATGTCAGGATGTTGACGGTGAATCCGATGCGAAAGTAAGCGAAAAGGTGAATTAGCAACGTCTCTATTTATTGTAATTTGTTAAAAGAATATGTAATTTGTGATTTAACGATGATCCGGTGTCTTCAACCCCGTTCCAAAGAATCTCGCAGGGTTCTTCTCCAGTAATCAAGGCTTGGTGGGTTACTCTTCGGATTTTTATGTAGGCAAATAAGTGGGTTTTGAGTTTAGGATAGAAATGAGAAGTCTGGATGGTTTGGTTGTCAGAATCGAACTGATTGTAATATTTTAAGAATGAGAATTCGTAACCTACGCTGCACACAGGCAGCACTTATATATAATACAATTCGTGTATGTGTTTCTTATGTATATGTATCTCAAGTATTTGTCGCTCAGTCGCCGCTTCTATATTCTGTCTACGCTGCATTTCTTCGGCCGCTGCCGCTTGTACCCGGATGCCAACTTGTTGGCTTGCATTTTATTATTCGGACAAACAACTGGCCTATTTTTAATGGAAGCGGGGTGCGGGGAGTTTGGCGGCAACCCGCTCCCAACTTATGTTTGCTAGCTAGTGGACGACCTATACTTGAAGGGGTGCGGGGAGTTGGTTATCGGTAACTCACGCACCCCACTGGGGCGGAAAATGTGAATCAGCTGTTCGCTCCGTAAAGCTTCATCTGCGTCGTGTCATCGGGAATTCCATCCTCACATTTGAGCAGATGCACACCCTTCTGGCTCAAATTGAGTGCGTCGTTAATTCACGCCCTCTCTTCGCTACGTCAGACACCGAGGTTTCCTACTTGTCACCCGCACACCTGCTGATTGGACGCCCTTATACATCAGTTCCAGAGGGCAATCTTGGCCACATAGCAGTTAACCGATTGGATTACTGGCAAAATGTACAGGCAATGCTACAAGGCTTTTGGAAGAGATGGCATCAGGAGTACCTCACTACACTTCAACAGCGCCCTAAGTGGAATACGGAGAGGAAGAACGTTGCTACTGGGGATATGGCGATCATCAAGGATTCAAATACACCCCCCGCCGCTTGGGCTTTGGCGCGCGTAATTGAAGTCTATCCAGGCAAGGACGGGCTGGTACGCGCCGTAAAGCTGCTAACTTCATCAAGAAACTTAGTTTCAGGGTGGGCCGGGATGTTGAGGAACCCTATAACAAATCATAATAATTTGGTATATTTTATAGCATGTAAGATTTTCCCTCTTGAGATGGTCTGGTCTTGCTATTTCTCGCTCTCTCTCTCTTGTTTCTGACCACGAACGGTCGACATGAAATAAAGCGTTCAATCTTATTGTGAAATAATTGTGTATTATTCGATCAACCCAATTCGAAAGTGGTCTTACAAACCATTTAGCGTGATCTATTCACCATCAGGTGCTGATCAAGAATATATATACTTTATGTGGTCGGAAACGTCTCCTTCACTGCGTTGCAAACATCTGACTGAAATTATAATATCCTCTACAAGGGTATAACAAACACAAACTCAGGTGATGTGCAGATTACAGCGATTGTGGATACAGTTTTAAAGCCGTTGAGTGAAATGTTAACATTAACCTTCTTGAACTATTTTCCAAAAAGCTTTGCTTTACCAAGTACACTTTGAGTGAAAGCTTTAACCACGTTAGAATTCGCTTACTGCACTTGCCAAATTTTCAACACAATGAAAGGGCCTTTTGCCTTTTATTTTCCAAAGAATTCTGGTTTACAATGACTTTTTGTGATTGGTTTAGCTTACGGTTCGGGCTGTTTCTTTCACTGTGTAGATACCCGATGTGAAGTTATGTGCATCCAGTTGATGTCCAATCTGCAGAGGTTCTGTTGTCGACGGATCCCTCGTGATCCTCCAATTCCAGGACAATCCAAGGCTGCAGGTGTCCTGTCACGGTCGCCAAATGTATGGGCTTACCCTTGTGCAACCCGATAGTGGAAGCAACCAAAAAGCGCAAATGGAACAGAATGTTGTTCTGTGTTTACCAAAGATCTGTATTGAACTGATTTGGCTGCTGAGTACAAAGTTTCATATAAGTTACGAGCGTGCAAGCGCGCTTTAATTACGGTAAAGTGGATCTTATTTACATATACAATTCGGGTTATGAATTTAGGATTCTTTAACAATATAAATTACATGTCGTGCTCCAACAGTTATTTCAATTCAAACTTTATTTTCAATGTTTATTATAAAAATCAACAAATAAGAGTTATTTGTCAACTTTTATAATAAAAATTGGAGAATAAGAGTTCTATGTCAATTTTTTTGAATAGGTTAACTCTTACTTACGATCCCTGATATTTATACCTATCGAAATGTAGAAGACATTTTTCAAATCGGACCATTCATTAAAAAGTTATGCGCAATCAATAAAATTGTATATATGCATCTCCCTCGCACTTTTTTTAGCTGAGTGACGGGTATTTGACAGTCGGGACACCAACCCGACTATAGCGTTGTCTCTTGTTTTTTTTGTATTCCTTTTTTATCTTACATCTACTAACAGCTATACATATAAATGGACATCAACTGAAGAAGTTGTGCGGTACGGCCGCAAAGCAATGCTTCGCACAACCGCGGCATCCTACATGGCCAGTTCTCTCTCTCTCTTAGCTTTCCTGAGTTTTTGCGTTAGAGGCAAATTTGGCCGTCGCGCCCCACTCCAGTTGGCCTTTCAGCATAGTTGGCACTAGCCTTTCAGCACAGTTGGCAATTGCGTGCTGGGGCTAGTGCTGACACCTATGGCCGTTTTCGAGGCGGTCCTGTCCTCTGCGTGGTTAGCGTCCTCCTCGATTCCAGAGCCGCAAATGGGGCATCCCACCCTTGTGTCGTGTCCGTACAACTTCAAATACGACCGGAAGCACCCGTGTCCACTCAGAATCTGGGTCAGGTAGAAATCAACCTGTCCATGCTTCCTTTCCAGCCATGGACACAAGACTGGAATGAGAGCGTGGGTCCAGCGCCCAGAGGTCGCAGAGTCCCATCTTTCCTGTGTCTTGCGGGCTGTCGCGCTTCATGCCTGGATAGGTCGTCGGTGCTCGTAGCCGCTTCCTCCACTTCCGCTGCCTCTATTACTAGCTCTGTATTAGAAATGGACCAGCGATGACCAGCGCAGCTTCCTCAGAGATCGTCCGGAAGGCGCAGGATATACTGATGGCACGTAGGCTGTGCGTGCGTTCCAAGCTACTCATGTACGATGGCGTCGTGGCGGCTTTACCCCGTACCGGGGCGGCATATAGGACTTGGGACGTAATGACGTTCGCTATGAGTTTCCTCCGTTCAAGTGACAGCCATGACTTCACCTTCACCATGTCCTCCACTTCGGCTGTCGGCTGTTTCCCAATTTTTGAGGTTGTGCGCTGGGCAGAAGCATAGGAGGTGTTCAATGTTCTCCTCTTTACAGCTGCGACAGTAGTTGCTGCTGAGTCCTAGCCTGTCCCTAAAAGACAGTGGCCCGTGAGGGCATTGATTAGAGTGGAGATGCCTTCCCTGCTGCATTGTAACAGGGTTTTGGTTGGAGAGGGTATACAATCTTAGCTTGAGGAGAAGTTTACAGGTAGCTATGGGCATGCCCACCGTATCCTTATCGAAAAGAGGATGTCGGTGGTTGTCCTGTGTCTTGCTAGTTCTTCCGCTTCTTGATTCTGAGATAAGTGGCCATCTCGTTCAGAGATTTGCGGCTACTTGACTATCTGAAACGATGCTGTTTTTATGTATCCAGGCTAGACATGGCTCCCCCACCTGTTTGCAAGTTAAGCTTGGAGCCATCTGCATATATCAGGGATCGCAAATAATAGTTAACTTATTCAAAAAATTCACCAATAAGTATTATTCTTCATTTTTATTTTAAAAGTTAACAAATAACTCTTATTTGTTGATTTTTATAATAAAAATTGAAGCATAAGAGTTATTTGTCAACTTTTAAAATAAATATAAACAAGAAAGGAAGCTAGCTTCGGCAAGCCGAAGCTTATATACCCTTGCAGATCATTCTATTAATTTACAAATCACAAAAATGTTAAATTTCTTATTATTTCACATTAATTTTTCGATCGTTTCTATCACAGCTATATGATATAGTAGTTCGATTTTTTAAAAATTAAAATCGAAATTCAGAAATATTTCAAAATAGTCATATCCCAGAGTAGAAGGGAATGTAATAAAAACCAACAAAGATATAATTTTTTTCCCATTAATTTCCATTTAATTTTTCGACCGTTCCTATGGCAGCTATATGATATAGTGATCCGATTTAAAAAACAAAAAAACCGAAATTCAGAAATATATAAAAAAAATATTCCCAAGAGTAAAAGGTAAAATTTCAAAAAACACCGGAGCTAGAATTTTTTTACGTTTTTTTTTTGATCCTTCCTATGGGAGCTATAAGATATAGTTGTCCGATCCGGTTGGTTCCGACATATATACTACCTGCAATAGAAATACGACTTTTACGAAAGTTTCATCCCGATAGCTTTAAAACTGAGAGACTAGTTTGCGTAGAAACGGACGGACAGACGGACAGACGGACGGACAGACGGACAGACGGACATGGCTAGATCGACTCGTCTTGTGATGCTGATCAAGAATATATATACTTTATGGGGTCGGAAATGTCTCCTTCACTGCGTTGCAAACTTCTGACTGAAATCATAATACCCTCT